TTTGCAACTAATTATACTTCAAACTTAGCGAGTAATGTCAATTTAGATTTTAATTATTATCCATCGAGAGAAATTTTGGATAGAAATGAAAAGATTATTTATTGTTTTATAAACTAATTATTAGGCTTTATCCATGGGTACAACAAACTACCGCAAGTTGTTGCTAGGATATTCTATTAATTTTAATTGTATTTTTTTAGACATTGTGAACAATCTATGGGTATTCTTAAGTATAAAATGTAATTGAAACAATTAATTTATTCCACTAATTTTGAATGAAGCTTAAATCGTTTAGATATTTGACATCATCAATTGTTTAGGAAACTCTCAAAATATATTTAATTTTATCTCTTTTAATTTTAAATTCAATATTAATTTATTCTATTATTTATTGTATACGCATATGTGGTACTAGGGAGGTTATTCCAAAGGGCTGGAACACGCCTGCGTCAATTAACCTTTGGACCACAATACACTTGATCGAAAGATCCCGCAATAACCGCATCTATCGAGAGATCGATTCAACGTGCTAACCGCCGCCGCCGCAAAAAAAAACTTTATTTTAAATCTTCAAAAGGTCCTACCAATTCGGTACCGTTTACTCGTGCGAGAAGTTGTTCCTGATCCAGATACAGGGTGGCCACCCAGGAGAAGACTACAACCCTCCTAGGTAAGCCGACCTCGTACCACGTGTTTTATTTTAGCAGGAATTTCTATTTTCTCGAGTATATTACAATCATTTCTTTATTTCCTTTCTAAACATCAATGTTAACCTTGATAATAAAAAATATATGTTGAGACTGTTGTAGGCATAACCCCAAAATACACATTCAGAGTTTCTTATTTATAATTTATTATTTACGCATTGGACACTTGAATCTATCAGAGTATCAATATTTAAAAAGGAGGTGCAAGATCTGTGCAAAGGATCTAAGGTTTAGCCGTTTATTATTATTATTTCTTACATTCATTTTGTTTTTTGCTTGTGACCAATGGAGAATGTTTTTCTGTGAGTTAGACAAATTTATTATTTTTATTATTTAAGAACCGTTTAGAACCTGGTTTTCTTTAGATTCTAAACCCAATAACATATTTTACATACAAAACTATATTTACTTTTTAGTTTTCTATTTCAATGATGAAATACACTGCTCTATCCAGTAAAGGAACCCGCTGCAAAGATATAGATATTATTTTTCAGGAGATTATCTGATCGTGGGTAAATATTTTATTTCAAAACCAAAAATGATCCATGCCTCTCAGAAAAACTAAGCAATTTTATTCTCTACCTTTATTTTTCAATTATTCGTCTTGTAATAAATATGAAAATATATGAATAAGTATGCAGATTTATTGAAAATTGTGTAACAAAGTTAGCCTCATAGTAATGATAGTGATTTTTACAATTTTTCTGCTATTTTAAAACTGATATAAAAAGGTTTACGAATTCACTTCTTGGTAAAATTCATCCGTCGGACGCCACAAAACAGTTTGTATGGTTTTTGATGTCTTTGATTTACTGTTTTATCTATTGAAACACTGTCTTTATACATGTTGATTATGGCCTTATTTATTTTTGTTGGATAGACAAAAAATGTATTGGTAAATTAAATAATAATAATATTTTTTTCCTCTAAAACTACAATGAGCAGGCTAAAAATAAACTTAGGTATATAAAACTAGATTAGGATTATTTGAGTCAAACAAGATCTTGATCTGTTAATACAACTTCTCATTAAAGTAATGAATAATATAAATAAATTCCTGCGAAATTATTGATATTTTAAAGATCGGATTTAAGTATATTTTTTTTAGTTATGAACTTAGGTCAAATAATTGAAAAATTCCTCGATATACAGTTCATACCATAAAGTAACTAAAATAAAAGAGTGTTTGAAAGGTTGTCTAACTTGGCCATAATGTTGCATAGTTCAGTTAGGGCTCCAAAGCGTCGCCACCTGCTACCTGTCACGCTGTCACGTGTCATGACAAGATTGACAAGTGACATGACAGCAAATTATTTGTATTTTGCAGTTGTTTACAATTATGTTTTGAATTTTGGAATTTTGTTATTATTTTGTGTAGCATATACTTTGTTTGTTTGTTTTGTGTTTGTGCGTACAGAAATGATGGAGGAAGTTTTATTTCCCGAGGAACTTATATTTCTCTATGATTTGAACTTTGTTTTGTGCGATGTGTTTTACGGTCATCATGTAATATTTTGTTCAGTCGATGATGTGATTTGAACACGATCCAGGAAAGGGTATCATGCAAAGCAAGTTCGATATGTAAAGACATTGCCCATCTCTGAACTCGATGAACGTAAAACGAACTGACTATATATTCGCGCCTTGATTTCACAGTGTTGAACATTTGCTACCTCAACTAAACTTCAACTGCTGAGTTTATAAATCCAACTTACAGGTGAATTAATTTTTGATGATGTCTTATTTAAATCTTAATCTGTTATAATAGCATAGATTGCAAACCCTGCGATCTTATATGGTTTGTTAGTGGCGTTGTTAAATAAGTTTTATAATACTATAGGTTAATCGAGGGGTAAACCGCTGGTGTATTTTGGTGTACAAGATGTTGGCATTTTTGGCGTTTTCGTAGTATTATTGGTATTAGTACTAAATTATTTGGCATTAGTGTACAGAAGTTCATCAGCGGTTTACCCCTCGAGGTTAATTCAGCATATGTATATGTTTTATATTATCAAATTTAATTTAGCATTTAACTGTAAGCATTTGAAAAGTGTACAATAGTTTATATTTTTCAAATATTCCGTTTTTAAAAATAAATTTTCATTATATTTTTTTGCAGTTTGATTTCGTAATATTTTTAAAATCACATAAATTTTTAAATTCACATTTAAACTGCCCGCCTTTTTTGTGGTAGGTAATGCAGATACCTATTTTACCGATTACGTCTGTCATATTTGTATTAGTTCAGTTAGGGCTCAAGGGTGCGCTACAATCGATCCTCGTTAAACGTGTTGCCTACTTTTGACTATGGAAATGGCAACTCTTTTATTTTATATTTCTCTATGGTTCATACCAAAATAAACTTTAAGTCACGTGATTAAGCTTGACCGGCACAGCGTTGCCCACTTTTACAAATTTTCTTTTAATCAAAATATTTTAGGAAACAAAAATAAATTAATTATAAATTTATAAATAGTTGTTACTCACATCAACAAAACTCACTTTCTTAACAGCACTGAGGGACATAGAGGACCATTACTACCGCTTTCCCGTTCAAAATATTCAAATAAAGTTGCTATGAGTTTTTTACGGCTATTAGGCTATCTTGTACACTTCTCACTAAGAGAGGTTCAAAAAAGAACAATGTTCGACTGCAAGATCTGCTAGTAAACATTTTTGAGCTTAAAATTATCACAACACTATTTATTTATGATAAAACAAAAACTCGTAGTACAAAACTAAAGTGTCAAAAAAATCAAAACGTCTATTACATTACATATTCTTTACTATATCAACTTCATAAATAAATCTAATAAATCAAACTAAGATTTAAATAAATTCAATTTTAGTCAGGCCGTTTACTACAAAGATACATTCTTGTAAAATTTATTAACTCTAACTAAATAGAATTACTTTCTTTCTAGAAAATAATTAGTTCCTTTACGGATATGTATTTTACAATGATAAAAATCCATTGTATGTATGTACATAAAATTTCATACAAAGAAATTCCATAGTAAACCCATGTACCTACTTCATTAATAATGCATTTTATAAACTTTCCAAGTTTTTGTTATACATTTAAAGTCGAAACCAGCAATATATCATTTTTACAAATAAATTATATGTAAATAATTAAATAAAGCAATTTATTATAGCTAAATATATAGTTGTTAAGTAGAATTCTCTGAAAATTAAATATACTTGTTTGCAACTGATGGTTTCTTTATTTAATAACTTTCTTATGATCAATAAAACTCGCTTAGATCAACTTTGAGAAACAGGTCTAGGTTGTAATTAAGTCACTAGAGCTACTTAATCAGAAATATTAAATGCGTCAAACTTGAAATAAATGTCATTATTTAATGCGTCATATTTTTTGCACTTTTAAAATACACCGGCATAATTTTATCTAGAATTCTGCAACAGATTATGGATACTTAACTTGGAGATTGCTATGAGTTTATTAATTTAAATTTATTATTTTTTATCTGAAAATCATTAATAACTGAGGCACCCTGTATACTCAAAAATATATTTTATTTGTGTCTTAAAATTTCCTAGAGGTTTTCTATGAAACATTCGATAAAATATTTGTTCTTTTGACTTTTTTATTTTTTAAATTCTCAAAACAACGGACATAAGAATATCTGTTCCATAACAACTGTTAAAATTGCATTGTATCTATCAAAAATAGTAGATAAAATAGTAATTCAACCGCAAGGGTAGATTAAATGATACTTTAACAACGAGGATAGGTTAAAAACTTTATTTCTTCTCGCACGTTTTTTAATTTCTTCCATTTTTGAAAATTTTTGTATTCCTTTTCATAAGTTATTCGGGATTTAAATGGAAGTAGTTTGGATATGGCGTTTGTCGCCTCAGCCTGAATATCTGTTTGTAATTCCAATCGACACGAAAGGAAATTAAAAAATATTGACTCAAAACTGGCAACTCAAGACAGGTTTATTTATTTGTCAAATTACATAGAAACCAACGCCAACCCAGCACAATATTTTTTCTACTCGTAATAAATTCCTTGAAATAATAATTTCTGAATATTTTTTAAAACGTAACTCGCTATGGAAAAAAATAAAAAAACCATTTTATCGTCTTGTATAAAAAATAACTATTATTTTATTTAGAACTCTTAAGTTCTTTTTATCCATTCACGGCTTATTTCGAAATAATTAACAGCCGTAAAATGCTACTTTCATTTCACTGTGACAAAATCACAGGTAGTCATTTTCCGCCCATCACTAATACTAATAAAGTCAACCATACACGACTTACCGTGACTGGCGACACTGCCGTACGGACCGTGCATGCTCTGATGGTAGTACCGGGCCCTCTGCGATCCAGAGGGGTCCAGAAAGAATGCCCCCATGTGCTCCGCCACGCTTGAGTTCAGATCAGAACTACCGTCGATGCCCCCCTGGGCCGGACTGGCCGACGCGCCCGTCCTAGGGCTCTCGTACCACCTGCCAACGGCGGACTCGTTGGTCATCTCCATAATCATGGGGTCAAAGTTAAGATACTACGCACTACACTCGCGGTAAAAAGTTTTTTTCAATTTTTGAAAAGGTTAAAAGCCAATCTAAGCTATTTTAGTCATGTTTTTAGAGTTCTGGATACACTCGCGATAAAGAAAAAACGTTCCAAGTCTCGACGCGATCAGTTCTTTAAAGGCTTTGCTTCGTACAATGTCTGAATAAGTTATTTTAGTCACTAAAATGCACAAACGATGGAATATATTTTGTCTGGACTGGTTTTTGGGTTATCGACGACGATATCTGAAACAAAAATGAAAAATTGTTTTTAATTACACAATTATTCAGATCCATGACGAGTGATATTTTAATCTTATCGAAGTACTTGAAAATCTAAAATTGTGTTGTATGAGGTTTGGGTTTATTATTTCTAATCAATTTTGATTTGTGCAAATAAAGTAATAAATCGTATCAAGGTACACGTGGCGACATGTACTGTATGATCGAAAAAAAGGCTTCATAGTTGTCACTGAAAAGTTATCAGTGATTTAAAGGACACTATATCCACTGTTCTTTACTCGATAGTTTGATTATCAGGGTTGAAAAACATATATTCTTTTTTTAGGGTTCCGTATCCAAAGGGTAAAAACAGGAACCCTATTACTAAGACTTCGCTGTCCGTCTGTCTGTCACAAAGGTCTATCTTAGGAACCGTTATAGCTAGACAGTTGAAATTTTTACAGATAATGTATCTATGTTGCCGCTATAAGAATAAATACTAAAAACAGAATTAAATAAATGTTTATAAATAAAAAAGTACTTTCACTAAACATTATCTTTTAAGTAAGAATTTTACATAGAATCTTTCAAGTCCTCGGTGGCCGCGTGGTTAAAGCGTTACGACTTTACGCTGCTATGCGTTGGAGCCGTAGTAAGGCAGGTTCGAATCCTAGTCAAGGCGACTTTTTTTAATCGTTTTTTTTTTTAATTTTTACATATTTATTATTGATTAATACAATTTTTAGTAATGTGTTTCTTCATTTTTTTTTAAATTACTCAAATCGCATTCAAAATTTCAGCTAAATCGAAAAAAAGTTTATAATAATATATAGTGACTAATGTTGTATAGATAATGAATGGTACGGAACCCTTCGTGCTCGAGTCCGACTCGCAATTGACTAATTTTTATTTTTATCAAAACATGTGTTTTTTTTGTCTAAAACAGTTTGTATTGTTTTAAACATCATTTTAACTTCCAAGTTGCGATTATGTTTAAAGAAGGTACTCCTTTAAAATAAGGTTGCCATCCGTCCCCTATAAAGGACAGTCCTCTCTTTAATCTCACTGTCCTCTTTTCTCTCACGTATTACGAAAGTCCTCTTTTTTACATACCCCTAACTCAAAATCTAAAAAAAATATTCGTCAGTAGCCATAATGCTTTAAAAAAGTATTAATCTGTGTCTTTCACTACTTCCACTAGTTTGTACGGAAAAGAAAATGAAGAAATATTTATGCAAGAACTATTTGTGGAAGCGATAAACATGTTTAGCTAATTTATGTTTACTTCTGTTGGCTTATGTTTAGAAAAAAAAGTTTTGTTGAAAATGGTTTGTTTTATTTTAAGTTTTGAGTATAAATATTTTTAAAAAAGTAAGAAAGACCATCGATCCCATACCGTTGACATAACTGTTTGGTAAATTTAATTCTGGATATTTGGTAGGTAAATTTTCTGTCTATTGGTAATGAGTTACTATTAGATCGAGATGATTACTTTTCTATTGGAAAAAAAACCTACAAGCCCAACATGTTTAAATCAGGGATTTAAACAGTTTTAAACAAATGTTTAAAACAAGTAATTTTTAAAGACGTTTAAAACACTTTTTTTAAAGATATTATTTTTAATTATAATATAATTTTTTTTAAAAAGAACAACTTTGTTATGATATAATTTTAGGGTTATACAAAACTGAATAAGATCCAACTAAAAACGATCCAATTAGTTATTGTATTTTTTTATTATGATATCTTTCAAAATGTTAATCCTATATTTTTTTTTTAAAAAACATATATAGTTTTTGTGCAATTTTCTTATGTTTGAGTATGTAAAAATTCCCAAAAAAATAAATTTTACTGTAAATTTTAAATTAAGAAGTACCCGCCGTCATAAAAAAAACGGCGTCAAGTTGTCTTGGAAATCAACGATCTTTGATATGTTCATATAATTTTACATATTTTTTCGGTCTTATTGTAGTTTTCCTTGAAACACACTTATGTATATTCTGTTTGTTTTACTGTATTTAAACAAATAAAATTATAAAGTAGTTGACTTATAAGCATGACTTGCATTTGAATGTTTAGTAATTACAAAATTATTAACATTTATTCTTATAAACTTCTCTTATATTATTTGTATTATAATAATAAACTACATGGTACTATGATAAAGAATACTTAAGTTTTTTTTTGTTAAAAATTAGATAGCCTGTAATTATAATTTTATAGTTTCGACAATTACAATGTTAAATCGACAGTTGTACAATGTTAAAAATATAAAATTGTGTACATTAAAAAATCAAAATATTTCATTTAAATTTTGAATCAAATATATAAATATTAAAAAATATATTTGGCTTTTTAAATGTAGCATATCGTTAAAAAAATATGGTTTAACGTTAGCTTCGACATGATAACATTCTCCATGTCATTTTACGCATAAAATGACAGCGATCTTCATTTTCGAACCAACTATTACGCCGTTTTTTTTTCAATCATATGGTATTATGCTTAAATAAAATATCTAACTCAATAAGAAATTAATAATAGTGTCTTCAAAATTTCCAAAAAATATAAATTATAAATAGAAATATTTACCATCAGAAAATATTTAACACCTTTATTTCTTCAAAAAGGCATTTTGTAATCATCAAAACCATCAAATTTTTGAAGTAATCAAGTCAACGTATATTATTCCAAGAACCCCAAATTATTTTATATTATTTATACAAAAAATAAGCAAATAAATTCAAATTAAAAACTACATAAAAATACCAATATATATCACCGAAGCACAGACTGTGAGAAACCACCAAAACCACTTCTTGGAACCATATAGAACAAGTCTATACGCATAAATCAATTGGATTCGAAATATATGTAAATGTATGTAATTCTCGGACGTGTAAACACCCATTTTATATGTGTCTATTCGGTATTTTTACATGAAACGGGTAAAAATACCTATAATTAATTTAAATTTAAAAATACAGACCACTATCATTTTCATTTAACAAGTTTAATCATTGTAGGTGTATACTTAATGCGTGCTTTTTTAATCATGTTATTTATTATTTTAACATTGTAATTTTATTAATTTTTTGTTTTATTAAACATATTATATATCAATACAGAGTTCCCGAAGATTTAAATACCTTCTGAAAAATGAATAATACAATTTGTAGAAAGACATCAACAGCCGCACAAGAAAGAAACCCTAACTGAAAATATTTTATTTTTTAAAAATTATTAAGCAAATCTGTATAATAATGTAATTTATTTTATATAAATTGTAACAAATAAGATTACTGAGAAAATGTAGTAATTTTTTTAATGTAACAAACTTTTATTTGAGAATTTGTGATCTGAGGTTGAAGAATTGATAATTTAAGAATAATTAATATTGGTTTAATAAATTTTTGAACAATGTTTATGAAAATTTGTTATCTATCAATCTATCAAGATTTATTGTGAATTTTATGAATTTTTACTATCTATTTTTTACATATTCCTCAGAGAAACCGTTAAAAAATATCAATCAAAAATGAAACTTTATCTAAGTTATTTTTTAATGGCAGTCTGTTAACTTATATATCTTATCTATTTTATTACTGGCAAACTAAATAAGCTTCTGCTAAATTATTTAGAGTTTTTTTTAAATGTTCTAGTTTAAATTTTGTTTTTAAACATATCATAAATAACGCCATAATCATGATAGTGACATTTTCAACATGTCATTTTATCATTTGGTATCAATTTATATTGGTTATATGTTGAGTTTAGCATTACAAATAATACAAATATTAGAAATAATTGGAATATTTTTTTGGAATAAAAATTTTGCAGCTCTACAGTATGTCCCCTAATTCTCTGTAGAGGAGGAAAAACTTTTTTATTATTGACCGTTTGAGAAAAATGCATTCTTAATAAAAAATTTTAGCTTGAGCAAAAATGGTTAATCCCGTTTTAGAGAAAATTAAGCAAAACATGAAAATGTAGTTGATTTTTTTCAAACCTAAAAATCAAAAGGCGTTTTTATGGTAATATTAATTCGATTTCATGCTTTGATAGATGGTTATTATTAATTTTGATTAACGTCATATTCTTTGCTGTTGTTAAAGTATCATATTTTACTATAACTATCATCATCCTTTCCGTAGCATTGAACTAAATAAATTTTGTGCTTTTTTAACATTTGAAAACAACAAAAAATATTACGTTAATTAAAATTCTATGAATAACAATCTATCAAAGAATGAAAACGAAGTTATATTACCATAGAAACGCGTTTTGATTTTTACGACTTTTTTTTTCTTAATTTTTTCTAAAACGATATAGAAATTTGGAAAAGTGTAATTTGTAACAAGCAATTTTTTTTATGAAAAATATATTTTTTCTCAAAATGTCAATAATAAAAAAGTTTTTCCTCTTGTAAAGACAATCCGGAGACATACTGTATAATATTATTTTTCCAAATGCCATACTTCTTCATACAAAAACCAAACTGACTATATTTTAAGAAACTAAAAAATCTCGTATTTTCACAGAACAAAAAAAGTTGATTTTTTACAATAAAAATCATATCATACATTAAAAAATTATGCTCAAACTCCAAAATTTTAATCCCAACGCATTATTCTCAAAGAACTAATGACACAATTGGAATTAACTATATATTTTTGTCTTGTAAAACTCCAGAGTAATTTATTTTTACCTAACTTTAATCTTTGTTCATGAAACGTCTACAACCTTTTAGATTTTGTTTAATATTATATTGATATATTAAAAATTATAGAAAGACCTATCATAATATCTAACTCTAGTTTAACGGTTAACTCCGGGTTGTATAAACATAGCTTAAACATTCAAATTCACTGAAATGAAGTAATGAAAAACACTGAACTTGGCAATTCTATTTAGGTATATTTTTCTTGTAGTATAAGATGATTAAAAGTCTAGTTTAAGCCTCGAAAACGATGACTGAACTAAGTCCAACCGATAAGCAGTCGTTGAACAACCCACTAAAATTTTGAACTTTGAACAACCGGCCCTAAGTACACCTAATCAAAATCTAAACCAATGAAACCATAGAAATTGGTAAACAGTACTAAACAGACTCTATCTTGATCACAGAAAACTCTCTAGGAAACATTATTATACAGAAACTGGTACTTACATGTTTATTTTAAGCATCCTTAATCAAGTTACAAATCAGTATATTGACACATTCACTAACAAAACCCACCAAAAATCACAGTTTTCTTAACTACAACCGAATCACAAGAACGCCGAAGGTCCTTCGAATCGCAGCAAGCCAGTGACCGCTGTCACCATTGTGAAAAAACAAAAAAAAAAACAGAAACAGAGCAAAGCCTCTCTGCGATACAACATCAACGGACAGCGCGAAAGCACTAAGTATCGCTAGAGCCGCTTTCGGCCGTAACCCGTGGCAACGAGCTTTCGCGTGAGCTCGGCCTCGTTCGGTAACGCTTTCTCTGTGATTGGTTGCCAGTCCTGCTGGGGGCGGGATTGCAGGAATCGGAATGGGCGGGATTAAGGCGAGACGAGTACGTTTCAATTTCGGGAAAGTCAGTGGCGGGTAGAGAGTGGCGCAGGAGGATAAAAAGAATGCGGCGTTGTAAAAAGTGAAGGTTTCGGGTTGTTGTCGTCGATCTATTGTTAAATCACTTAAAGCTGCTGTATCTTTTGTTGTTTATCTTTGAATGGTTGTTGGTAATCATATGTGCATATTTGGCTCTCTCTCTAAACTTCGTTATATTTTTAGACTATGTTTTTGAATCATCTATCAGTTCAAGTAGATTTTGATTTAGGTATAAATTACCCAGTGATTTCTACCTTGTAGATATTTTAGTCTCGATGAAATTTAAATTTGCCCTTCAAAATGATATACCTAATACAAAATTCTTTTCCATAGTTGAATTTCTGTGAATTTGTGACTTATACCTGTATGTTTTTTAACCATTTCTTCGAATAGGCATAAGTGTCGTGGTGATCCATACTCGCTCTTGGTCTTGTAGAAAAAACAAGACCAAGACTAGCGTTAGATCTGCAAGAACAAGACTGAGCAGACTCTTTCGGTCTTGCAAGTTTTTTATTTACATCTTGTTTTTATAGATAATTTAACAACACAATAAAGACATTTTTATTTACTTACCCCCAAAATAAAACACTAAATCACCACAATACACCAAAACACTTTTACTTTTACACTGGACGCGCGTTTCGCTAACCATGTTAGCATCATCAGCAGATGATTATAAACTGTTTATAATCTAAAAAATTAATCTAAATAAATAATAATAAACTAATCTAAACTCTCAGTTTATAATCATCTGCTGATGATGCTAACATGGTTAGCGAAACGCGCGTCCACTGTAAAAGTAAAAGTGTTTTGGTGTATTGTGGTGATTTAGTGTTTTATTTTGCTGTGTAACACCAAAGGTTCCAACCCTCAACTGTAATCTTACTTACCCCCTATAAATTATTAAATAAAAAGTAATTTTTATTTAATAATTTGGTGGGTGGTCTACCGTCAAATAGTCATTTTTACTCTGAATAGAACATGCTATTTTTTTTAAACGCCACAAATAATTTTTTAAACAATTTCAAACGTTCCAAATAATATAAAAAGATTTAAAAGTCATACCTGGTATGTAATTATATATCGAGAAACTATGGTTACGCTCGTTGAATTTGACACTTTATGTCAGTTTAATGATATATTTTCGTACTTTTATGCCTAGGCATTAAAATGACTTTTTTATATTGTCAATCACGTCGCAAAAACTAATATTTTTTGACGTTTGAAAAAAAAAACATTTTTTGGCGGGTATAGTTATAAATAAATAAGTTGTAAAATATCTGCACTTATTTCTGGAACACCCTGTATATTAGATATTGATATATTAGATATTGACACCCATCTATAATACTAATCAAATATTAAATCTATTAATTGCCATTTATCTATTTTTATATTTATTATAAAATATTTATGATTTATTATACCGTATGATCGAATAAAAATGGCGTCAGCGATGGTCATGAAATGAAGATCGCTGTCATTTTATATGTAAAATTATATGGGAAATGTCATCGATCGTCATTTCCAAGCCAACTGGACGCCGTTTTTTTTTCGATCATACGGTACATCTTGTGTGCTAAAATCTTGGCCAGAAAATAAGTTATTTGATTATCTAGGTATATGTATTTTGAAAATATATTTTCTTATTTATTTCTAAATGATTTTAAAATAAAACTCTATTAATATTGTTTTTGGGGTTTGCTGTTAAACTAACTCTCACGCACTGACGAACTAAAATCACCTACCGCAGGACCCGCCACTGGCAGAACTATGGAAATTTAGATATCTGGGGCCACCCGGAGGACCGGGCAAACATTTCCAAAGACTCTAACTTTATAAAGTCCAACATGGGATGACTTTATACCGAAGCGAGATCCCAATTATTCTATCCCGTGGGAACGCAAAAAAACTACCATCTCCTGAATGTCTGGATCGTCCACAAGCACTTTTGGAACAATCGAACTTTGGAGTAGGGATTAAAAAGACAGTAAATGTAAATATGTAAGAATATTCACTCATTATTATTTTTTTTTTGTATAAGAGCTTTAGATATCAGTACTTTTGAACCAAGTATCTAATAATGAATTATCCAGAATTATCTATTTTATCATGTTTAAACGTTCTTGGTAAAGACCGTTAAAATATGTGTCTTGTAAATACTGGCACGACAGAAGAATTAAACAGAAAGTTTAAAATAGAATAATGTTTGACCATGATAAATAAAAAGAAAAAAGCATTCTAGAAATGGGGAGTCAGTTTCAGATGAGCTGAGAGATTCTTTAAACAATCTATTGACGTTGAAACATTTGGTTCTACAACAATAGCATCATCCCATCACATCTGAAGTGGTAACTGATTCTGTCTTCGAATAGGGTAACTGTCAGGAAACAGTAGACAGAAAACAGAAGATATCAGTCAAACAATTTCCAAGCAACCAAAATAAGAGTAGTCAAAACATTATGCCATCAAGAACTACTAATTTTAAACTCCTAATAGCAAAACAAATTTGCTTCAGAATAGTAACAATCAAACTTTGTAATAAGGATGAAAAAAAAAATACAAGAATGATCTAATGATATTTAGTATTTGTTGTTTTTTGTATCAAGTTTTTTTAGTACCAGTATTTTTAAACCAAGTATCTAATAAAGACGTATTCTTTAGATATGGTTTATATTAATCTAAAATATATCCAGACATCAATTATGATTAAATTTCCTTGGTGAATATTACTAAATTGTGTGTTTTTAGTTAATAATGGCATAGCAAAAAAATTAAACAAAACTTTATGAAAAAGTATTTTTGAGCTTGCTAATTGAAAGCAAAAAATAGTACCAGGCGTGAAACTACAGTTTCGGAATAAGATACATCACAAGCTTGCTGGTAGGACCTCACAAATAGAGCTTCGTGGTACTAGTATATTCACATAAGTTTGTAAACTCAGATTATACTTCTATGCAGACCAGACTAGATTTTCGAGGAACTTATTGGCCTCTTCACTGCAACTATTTCATATTTTTCATTCGTAGATTTTTTGATGTGGCTAACTGGTCTATTCTACTGTGACTTGCAGATCTATAAATTGATGTGGTCTTCTTCTCATCTCTAGCTTACATTCTCCAGTCCTATATTATTTTCAAAAAGTCTATCAACTTAGAGACTGAACCTTCCAAATAGCGCTTTGACAATGGCCTAACGTTGCCATAAGAACTTTAGATTGCTATCACTGATAAAAAAGATAGACTTGAACTAAAGTCGTCATCGGTCTTGAAAAAAAAAATTTAGTGGCAAGAGAATTTATTTTAGCGTAAAAGAAAATATTTTGGCTGAAGAAAAACTCTCTTAAGTCAAAAAAACTGGTGAAACAAAAAAACTCTTGAAAAATTCGAAAATTTCTCTTGAATCTATTTTCATTCAACCAAGTGCAAGTTACTTTGTTTTAAGATAATAAGAAAAATACGCTAGGAAGTAATTCATTCAAGAAACATGGCCATTTTTCCAATAGCTAAATATTCTTTTGATGAAAAATAATAACGAGACGCAAAGACGATGATGAAGGACGGTATATACAATCAGTCGGCAGTTCGATCAGTCGCAGTCGTACGTCGCATATCATAGGTCGCACATCATAGTACGCACGGGTTTTGTTGCTTGGAATTTTCTACTTGGAATTTTGGACAATTTGTTTTTTAAACGCATATCGTATAACAAATTAGTGATCGTTATTAATATGCATTTGTCATTTTTATGGACAATTTTTAGGATATATGGATTCTTTCTTATGGAAAGGAGTTTTCGATAAAATGGAAATTAGAGCATTTATTTGCTATATTTGAAGGTAAGAGACATTTACCTATGCACCTGTTTAGATAATGCATGCATGACTATAGATAGAATAAGAATATAGGTATCGATCTTTTTATGCAAATAATTACAAAAATTTTGGAATTTCAAGTCGTCGTATTAAAAAATTCAAAATGTGACCAAAGCTTATAATTTTAATAATTTATTTGCTTTACTTTGATTAATCATGATGTAACATTTTTTTGTAATTTTTAGAGTGATGAACCACCCCAAAAAATACCAAGGAGTGAAGAAGAAGAAATAATACATATCGAGGAAAATAATATCAGTTTACTTACTACAGACCAGGAAAACCTAAAGTTATCAGAAAATAATATACCTCGTAATATGCCTGTATATGATGTATAGACTTCTCTTAGATCAAAATAAATTTTAGTTGAGTCAATAGTATTCGTTATTGGTTTAAGAAAAGTGTTTCTTTAATCAAGAAATGTCCCTTTTCAATCAAGCATTTTTGCATGAATCAAAGAGATTATTGTTCTTGTAGCAAGAACTTCTTTGCATATTCATTTTGGGTCAAGAGTGAAATACTTTGGACTGATAGATTCTCTTATTCTCTAAAGTAATTTTTTAAACCTTATGAAAAGATAGTTAATGCTTTGGGCAAAGAAACGTCGTTCTTGGCCCTATTGAAAAGCGCCAATCTTTTGGGTCAAAGTCATATTCATTTTGACTGAGAGATCCTTTTTTTCAGTGATACAAAAAACGGCACATTCGCCAGGCTGTCGTACTAACACCAAATCTCTTCCATCTTCAGATTGACAATAAAATCTGCACATGACTGCGTCCCATCATGTCTGTTAAGAGTGTTAAGCTTACTTACTTACCATGTTAGTAGATCCATTACAGACTTGACAATCTTTCAGAATGTTCTCCTATGAACTTTTCCGCCTGTCTCCGCCCTGGTAAAAATCTAAATCATTC